ACAATTAGCAATTAATTCCATGAGTAGTCACAACATAAAGATTTATCTCCTGATCCAAGAGGATGTATCTTAACTTAATCACTTCATTGTCAGTTGTATCAAGACTCAATTTGACTAAGACTTTAGCCTGCTTCCTCTGCTTTGAGTTAAAATTTTACTTTCATGACTAAATTAATGCATTTTATCAACCATCCTTTGAAGTTTATAGTTACATTGGCTAACTAATAAATACCTTTGCAATTCCAGAAGTATTTGGTTGAGGTTTCTATCATTTGCAATCAAAAGTGTCCTAACGGAAACACCCTGAATATGAAATAAGGTTAATTTATATGAGTGTGTGTTTAACTTTTTGAGCCAGTATGATATGGTTTGAATTTTGTCTTATTATCAAGAATAGTTCATTTTTCTTGATAATGAATTACAATTGTAATTCAAAACTTAATTTTAATTTCCATATTGTTATGCTTCCAAGTGAACATTTAGAATTAGAAGAATATCAGGCATAGTTTTACGTGCAAAATAATGAAATATACACTTACATCTTTTCCAAAATATTTACTTAGCATACTACCACAATTTTATGAGATGTTATATAGACATGATGTAAAATAGGTTAACATTCTTTGGGAAGTTCATGGTATATCAGATATCCTTCACTACCACTACTACTCAGATGTGTCAGTACCTCTTCTGTCTTCTTTCTGTCATTGTCCAGCTTGTGCCTTAGAAAGCCATAATCCTAGTGCTTAGATACCTTTGGAAACGTCTACTTTATGAACACATGAGGACTGGAGACACCAGAAGACATCTCATTCTGCCACCTAATGATGAATTGTAGCGATTATCGATGTAATTTGATCAGAAGTATGATCAATTTCAGACTGCAGAAGTTGGTAAAAATCTTAATTTCTTCATCTTTGGCTTTAGCAGTTGGTGAATAAATTTGAATAATAGTCCTATTAACTGGTATTCTTGAAGTCTATGGATATTATCCTATCACTGACATCATTATAGTTCATGACAGAAGTGTTCCTTTTGACTATGAATGGAATGCCATTCCTCTTCAATTTGCCATTCCCGGCATAGTAGATCTTATGACTGTCTGCTTCAAAATGGCCAATACCAGTCCATTTTAGTTCACTAATGCCTATGATAGGAGCTCTGGTAGCATAGTGCCTAAGGCACTTGACTGCTCACCAGAAGGCTGGCGGTTCAAACCCACCAGCCACTCCTCGGAAGGAAGGTTGGGCAATCCTACTTCCGTAGTGATACTGCCTCGGAAACCCAAGGAGGGGTCGCTATGAGTCGGGGCCGACTCGACGGCAAACAACAACAACAACAACAACAATGCCTATGATATCAATCTTTATGCATTCCATTTCACCTATGAAAACATCAAGTATTCTTAGATTCATACTTTGTGCATTCCACATCTCTGTTATTAAAGGATGTTTGCAGTTGTTTCTTCTCATTTTGAGTCATGTCACATGAGCAAATGAAGATTCAAAAAGCTTTATTCCATCCTCATCATTCAGGTCAACTCTACTTTGAGGAGACAACTAATCTCCAGTCCTATTCTGAGTGCCTTGCAACCTGAGGGACTCTTCTTCTGGAACTATATCAGACAATGTTTCAGTGTTATTCATAAATTTTTCAGTGATATATTTTAGTAGATTGCCATGTTCTTCTAGTCTGTCTCAGCCAAGAAGCTCTGCTGAAAACTTTGCACCACGGGTGACCCTGCTGGTATTTGAAATACAGTGAGGTTCCTTCCAGCAACACAGCAACACACCAGCCACCAAAGTACCAAACACGGGAGTAATATTCTATTGTATATGCACTATGTGTCGTTTATCCAACTCTATGCTTAATTTTGTCTTTAGTTTTTCTCAGCAGTGTTTTCTAGTTTTCATATACAAACCTTAAATATATTTTAAATATTTTCCTACAATATCTCATAAAACCCACCAGCCACTCCTCAGAAGGAAGGTTGGGTGATCTACTTCTGTAGTGATACTGCCTCGGAAACCCAAGGAGGGCTCGCTCTGAGTCAGATCCGACTTGAAGGCAGTGACTTTGTTTTTTTGGTTTATAATGTATGCATATTACACTCAAAATTTCTTTCTAAGAACTGCTGTTATTGCTTGCCACAGATTTGGACAGGCTGTGCTTTCAATTTCAATTGCTAGTTAAAATGGTAAATCTATGTTTAATTTTTAGAGTAATCACATAAGTTTTCCACAGTGACTGCACCATTTTACCTTTCCCCCAGCAATATGTGAAGGTTCCAATTTTTCCAACATATTGAAAGGCACACCCATCTTCTCAGCGTTCCAATTCTCAGTTTCCACACCCATCTTGTTATCTAAACCAGAATCTAGTAATATCTATGACTTCGCTCTCTCTAATCTTCATCCGACATCAAGATATTTTGTTTATAACCCTTGAATACTTCCAGAATTACTTTCTCTCTCTCCATGTTCATTGGGTTCCCTAGGTTTAGAGGCTGAAATGAACATTTTTATGAAAGTGATTTATAAGAAAGGAAGTAAATGAAGAGGAAGACTACAAAAGTTAAAAGAATGAGTTCAGTCTCAGTTGAAGTCTGGTTTAAGCTTGTAGCCATAGGAGCTCTGGAGTATAGACTGCACTACAGAGTTGGTACATCCTAGAGGTAAGGGGGCCTGACTTGTGTACCTACTGCAAGTCTGTCATTGCCATTTATGGGCTCTAGGGTGGTGAACATGACCCCACAACTACTATTTTCTCGGGAACATTATCCATAGAAGGTTGGCAATGTGATCTGCTAGTAGCCCTGACTCACAGAAGCTGGATCATAGGTGCACTGACTGCATCTTCACAGGCACCACCAGGGTCAAGACTCCCAACCTTTCACACCAAATCATTATGATAAACTCCTACCTGCTATATTGTTTCTAGTCTTGTTTCCATACTGCAGTTAAGGTTAAGGTTAAGGTCATTCAAATCCCACCATATCACCTGCTAGCATGAAAGATTGTTCGATGTTTCTCCTTATGGCCTTTGCATCAAGCCCTAAAGTGTTTATGACAGAGGATCTTCATGATCCTCTGTTCCAATCTTTCCAGCTTCATGTTTTTTAACTTGTTTACATGTTTTTTAATTTTACCCTTTTACATGTTCAGTGTTCAGTATGGTTTTTGGCACACATTATGCCTTCAAAAAATAATTGTTGAATGAATAGATATAGTCATAACCACAACCATACTGATTACTTAAGTTTCCTGAATATGCCATGCTCTTTTTCACCTCCTGATCTAGGTATTCTATCTCCTATGTATTTGATTGCACCAATCTTAGGTCTATATATCCTGCTAACCTCTTTTATACCCCTCAATTCTATGTTTGATTATTTTAATCTGAGAAACATTACCAGACTCCCAGGACTCAGTTATGTCTTCCTCCCATGTGTTTTCACAGCACACAGTGCTTCCACTATCTTGTCATTTATATCACTGTGTTGGACCCTGTTACTGTCTTCCTGGAGTCACCCAATAGATCTTAAGCAGGATATAGGTCTCTTTTTATTCAAAACTGAAGATCTAGCAACTTTTGTTAGCATATTGTGCTCCTTGGGCTCAAACATATGTGTTGGTTAATAAATGAATGAATAAATGAAGCAAGGAACAGAGTATATCTATAAAGAAGTTGCTTTGTGTGTAGTCAGTGATAATTTTTTAAACTTCTGTTAATAGTGAAATGTTACCAAAATTTAATGAACAGAGAGAAATAGCATACCTAGCCTACATTCATAACATAATAAAACTTAGTTGAAGACAGGAAGAATATCAAAGTAGCGTAATTGTTAAGACACTGAAAGGCATAGTTGTATTTTCTTCTTATTTTTTACTTTAAACAGAAATAAAAGCATTCTGATTGCCCCACAATGGTTAGCTAGAATTCTTCCTCGTGTCTGAATCAGATATTGGTAAGAAAGCATTTCTTTAGTCCTTCATGGTAGTGTTTAATACTACTTTTTCTACATTTTGTTCAACTTGTTCCTCTTCCTTTATAATTTTAATCATTCATTCAACACTTATTGACCACCAATATTGTACTACATGGTAGAAACTATTGCATCTAGCAGAACAGTCCTTCATGGAGTGTGACTTCAATGTATAGAAGTCTCTCCCATACATTCAGATATTCTTTTATTTGAGCCATCACTCTTTTAAACAAATTATCAACCTAAAATGGGCGACATGAATAATGCAAAATGGTTCTAAATCCCATATGGAAATTTGGAAACATGGCCTAGTTTTCGTTACCAACCACTCAAAGATTAAGTGGCCCATATTTTACAGCCCTAAAGTAGTTAGACAGCATAATATTCCTGGCAACAAATGCAGTACAAGAATATTAGTACAAGTTATTAGATGTCTAGTTATATATATATATATATATATATATATATATATATAAATATACAGTGTTCCCAGCAGAGTTCCTGGCTCAATAAAAGGCAGCTACAATAATCATCAGACCTTTGAGTCTTCCTTGCTTGACAATATATCATAACAGTTAAGAGCATGATCCCAATCAATCACATCTGGGGTCCTGACTCTTCATCACGTCTGCCTTGGGAACTTCCTGTTTCTCACAGTCCCCTACTTGTAAAAGGAGACGATAAAAGTGCCGATCTCTTTGCACTTCTTATAGATTTTTCCTCAACACCAGGATATTTTGTTATATCTTTCATTTCTTATTAAAGAAAAACCTCATGATTCCATTGACATGGATTATGCCAGCAAAACTAAGTTTGAATTGATAAAATATTCAAGTGTGCAAAGAATAGTTTACTCTCTCTCTCTCTCTCTCTCTGTACCTATTTCTAATCTAGTAAATGAAAAACATATGAATTATAATGATCTTTCTTTTTGTTGTTGTATTTCTTTCTGGGATCCTTGTTAATGGTCTTTAGACTCTCTTCTCACTTCAATAATTTTAGAATCTAGAGATATTCATTTATTACCTGAACTAGGCTTCTTACTGCATAATGTCATGATGGCATTTTTCATCTGGACATTTCTCAAGGTATAGATTAAAGGATTTAACATAGGAGTTATGATAATATAGAATACAGCAATTGCCTTATCGACAGATAAAGTGACCGTTGGCCTCATGTATTCAAATATACAGGGCACAAAGAATAAGACAACCACCGTGATATGGGAAACACAAGTTGAGAGGGCTTTGTGCCTTCCCTCCAAGCTGTGAGTCCTTAGGGAGCACAGGATGACCACATAGGAAATCAGCAAGAGGAGAAAGTTTAACAGACACATGAATCCACTGTTGACAGCAACAAAGAGCCCTAGAATATGTGTATCTGTGCAGGCAAGTTTGAGCAAAGGGTTCAGATCACACATAAAGTGGTCTATGATGTTAGGACCACAGAAGGGTAATCTAAACATGAAAAGAATCTGTATGGTCGCATGAAGAAAACCTCCCACCCATGAAACTCCCATTAGCAGGGCACACACTCTCCGGTTCATGATGGTTGTGTAGTGTAAGGGCTTACAGATGGCGACATAGCGGTCATAAGCCATCACAGTAAGAAGGATGATCTCAGCACCTCCAAATAAATGTTCTCCAAAGATTTGGGTCATACATCCACTTAATGGGATGGTCTTCCTCTCATGGAGTGAATCTACAATCAGTTTAGGGGTACTGACAGAGGAATAGCAAGCGTCAATAAAGGAGAGACAAGCCAGGAAAAAGTACATAGGGGATTCCAACAATGGGCTGGTGGTGATGGTGACCACAATGAGCACATTTCCTACCACAGTGGTGATGTAGATGACTAAGAACACAGCAAATATGACTTTCTGCATCTTCAGATTTTCTGTGAGCCCCAGAAGAACAAATGCTGTCACATTGTTCTTATTCTCCATGTATTTAACGTGGCTGTTAATTACACTACCTGCAAAGAAAATAATTGTTATTAATATAACCTTGAATTTTTTCAAGCTTTTTCATACTATCACTGATAAATATCCTTATTCCTTTGATCTTTAAGTTTTTGAGTTCATTTTTTATGGGTAAATAAAAGTTCTGAGGCTCTTTTGTTTTGCTGTAGTAAATATATATGTAACAAAACATTAATCATTTCAACCTCCTTCACAAGTATAATTCAATGGCATTATCTATGTCCATTATGTTGCTTGACTGTTTCCATTATCCACTTCCAAATTTTCCACCACCCTTAACAAAAGCTCAGTGTCCGCTAAGCATTGAGCCTTCCTGTCTTCCTCCTTCTGTTCTCCCTAATAACCAGTAATAAACTTTGGTCTTTATACACTTCCCTGTTCTGAATATTTCATGTAAGTGGAATCAATAAATGTTCTTTTATGACTGACTCATCTTACTCAGTACAATGTTTCTAACTTTTGTCCTTGTTATAGCATGTATCCAGACTTTTTCTCCTCATACTTGAGTAAAATCCCATTTTCATACTACATGTTATTTGTACTTCTGTAAATAGGCCTTTAGGCCATTTACTGCACAATTTGACTAATGTGAATAGTTCTATAATGAACTTGAGTTCACAAGTATCTGATTTTATTTCTTATTTATTGTCTTTTGCGTATATCCCTAGAAGTTGTAATTGAAGATTAACCAAACTGCTTCCTGTGTAAAGATTTTGTTAAGAATGTAGACATGAGGAACTTCTTTAAATACACAGGGCAGGAGACCATCTGTGTACACTTTGAAGTAGTAGACAGTACACACAGTGGCTGAAGAGCCAAGGATGTGAAATGAAGGAAGTCTTCTTTTACTCTTTAGGAAACAGAACCAAGAAAGGTTGTTGAGATATGAGTGGAAGGACGTAGAGTAATCTGAGGACTGAGGAGCCTTGGGTAATTACTCTAGTTAAGGTTTCTGTTTATCTTGAATGAGATTCACTAAGGTGGGAATCAGAGACAGCACACCAGTTAGCAGACTATAGAAGGTGACACCGGAGTACAGGACATAGATGGTGGGAATAACAAGAAAGGACACAAGAGCCAAACCCATGAGATTGTTACCACTATCAATTTTATACGTATTTTACACATTAGGGATTAGAAGATGAGACAAGTTGAGAATTCTTTCCCCAAATCAAGTGACTAATAAAAGGCACAGGCAAGTTTATGTAAAGCAAATTTATCAGCAGCACAGAGAGATACCGATAGAGAGGGAAATGAATAGAATTTTGGAATTCCCAAATACTAAAAAAAATGTGGAATTGTGTGTGTGTGTGGTGCTGTCAATTCTGACTCATGACAGGCTAGATGACAGAGTAGAGCCACTCCATAAGGTTTCTAGACTGCAGTTTCTAAGAGAGCAGCTTGCCAGATCCTTCTCTTACCCACAGGCTGGTGGGTTTGAACCTCGGATCCTTTGGTTGGCCGCAAAACACTTAATCATTATGCCACCAGGGTAAGTTCAGCCCCTGCTACCCACACTCTACTCCTCCTGTGAAACACAGACCCAAAATTCTTCTGCAAAAAGTGTTGAAAATGACTGAGACACTGGCTAAGTTTCTTTTTTGGGTTTTGGAACAGGAAAACCAGATCTAGAATCTTTCATTTACAACTCTTTTTATCTGGGATAGCTTTTTGGCACTTCAGATCTTTGTTCTCTTATCTGTTAAAAGAATAATGATGTCCACCTTGCTGGTTAGTATAAGAATTGATTGAGAGAGCACACGTGAGCACGCCCAGCACAAAGCTGGGATGCACGTAGCCTTTATTTATTCCATTTATATGACTGCATGTGCACAGAGGAAATAGGAAGTATTGGCCCCAAAGCAATAATTTGGAGAAACATTTTAAGTATATAATAAGTCAAGAAGTATCATGTCCAAATACCTCTGAAGAAGCCAAAGAGACTCAAATCAAAATGTGATCACAGGAAGCACTTTCCATATTTCTTGTACTCACATTTATGGCTTTTGTGTGTAATGTATATTTAAGTAATATTTTCATCCTAATATATTTTAAAAAAAAAGAAAAACCACTGTGATTTAGTTGAATCTGTCTCATAGGATGTATCTGACAGAGCAAAACTGCTCTGTCGCTGTTTACCAGAGAGAACCTGAAGGAACAGAGCCGCTGAAGAAAATTTACGAGAGAAAAGGGAGGCACAGGGGGACTAAGAGAATTCTTAGACCCCGTTTATTGTCAGTACAGAGTTTATAAATCATATTGAGAGCTATATTCGTCCAATGCTAAAATCTTATCAAGGCTTACAAAGAATAAAGTTTCTAAGATGTCTATAATCTCTAACTGAGTTCAGGTACAGAATTCATGAACATTCTTTACTGGGAACTAAGAGCTTTCTTGAAGGTCACAGTGAGTTTTGTCGAGAACTTCTTGACCTGGAGACTTGCTGGCATGCCCTTATTTCAGATAGCTGTGTTCAGCTTCTTCCTGCGAATGTTCTCAGCAGTACTCTGAACAAGGCGCACAGCTTTCTCACCCAGGGCAAGAGTCCAACTACTCCTCACACTGCTCCACAGGGTTTCCAGTGTTGTAAATCTTTACAGAAGCAGACTGCCTCATCTTCCTCCCATGGAGCAGTTGCTTGATGGAACCCACAAACTTTTTCATTAGCACCCAAATGCTTTAACAACTGTGCCACCAGAGTTCCTTTCCTCATAGATTCTCCCATCAAGTACCACGCTTCTACCAGAAAACTTCCTTCCATTTTCAAGACTCTAATGATTAGTCTTGATTATGAAGAGAAGTTGTGTCCTAGCAGACATGGTACCTGATGTGGAAGATAAATTGGAGTCCTATAGATTGGTTAATCTCCGTAAGAGCCAACTTTACCTTTCAAATGAGGCTAATTATTATTACTTAATATTTTTAATGTTTGGAGTAAAAGAGAATACTCTATTTTTATATTTGGAAAATGTTGAAAATAGTAATTTATGTAAATGAATAGCAATAATCTTAAATAAGAGGCAACACTATTAGAGACTTACCTTGGTGGTCTTTAGAGATGACCTCAGGGATGTTGGTGGTGTTCAGCAACAATTCCATCTTCAAACTGACCCCCTCTTGAAATAAGTACTTTTCTTCATGAAAGATGTAAAATATTTGACAAGAGACTAAACGTAAAATTTAATATCAAATAAAAAGTTTATAAAGTGATATTATGAGTCAACATCTTTCCTTTCAATCTAAAAACTCAAAACCTTTTTCCAGAAAATCTGGGATTTGAATTTAGAATGGATTTATTCGAAACATTAGAGAACTGATCTTCTCTCCATGGCTCTGTTCCAGCAGTACAGGAGTCAGAGAGTGCGGAGGAACACATTTAAATAAATCACTCCGCACATGGTGACGCTTGCTCTGGATGTGTGAGCAATAAACCTTTCCAATTTGCACTACGTAGATCTACAAAGAAGTTTCCATAAAGGTTCTGGGAGCTTGTTTTGCTCTCTCAGGAATAAATTACCTCCTTTGAGTGAGATGTTAGGTATTCTGGAGAGACACCCTTAAGAACATCCTTCTTGAAGAGGGACTTTTTTTTCTGCACTTGACACCTAACCATTTTGAGACCTCCCTCTGTATGCAAACCTTGGTTGTCAAGAAAACCAAATGCCATGTGAATAGCAGCTGGCATGATTCTTCAGTGTAGATTATGATATAGTTTTCCTGTTGATTCATGTCACAGAGGAAGCTTTTATTTCCTTATTTGTATTAAACCATTCCTGGAAATCCATTCTTTATTTTTTGAATGCTAGAGCAGTAGAGCTCTGGTGGTGTAGTGCCTAAGGCATTTGACTGCTAACAGAAGCATGAAAAAACAGACAGAAGGTTGGGGGTGCAAATCCACCAGCCACTCCTCAGAAGGAAGATTGGGAAATCTGCTTCCATAGTAAACCCAAATAGGGGTCGCTATGAGTCAGATCTGACTCAATGGCGGTGAGTTTTGTTTTTGAGTTTAGAGTAGTAGAGCATAAAATTAATGGTTAATATTGTGAAGTGTCTATCCTCAAATCTTGTTTTTTCACATTTCAAGAGGTCTTTGGAAGTAGCTAGAAGCCCCAGAAGATGCCAGATTACTGTGTCGTCTGTGATTCGTGGCTGGTCAGAAAGCTATACAACACACTCATAGCCATCAATTTGATTTCAACTCAGCATCCCTAAAGGATGGAGAACTACTCCATATTTCCAAGACCAATAATATTTACAGAAAATAAGTATTGCATTTTTCACCTGATGAGTTTCTGTTGGGTTCAAATTGCTGATCTATTTATTAGCACCAGAGCACTTTAAGCCCTGTGCCACCATGGATCCTTGATCAGAAACCTGACCAATATTAAAAATGTGGGGAGATACCTAAAACATCGGAAGGAAGTTCTGGTTGTTCCACATCTTTGCCACTTGTTTTTCTTTTAGTTATCCTAAGGGGCATATTTTATTGTTAATGGCACAGCAGAGTAAATTCTGACTCCCAGCGACCTCATGGGATAGTAGACTGCCCATAAGTTGTTCTAGGCTGATGGTCCCATGGTTAAGCTCTCTGCTGCTTCCCAAAATTTAAGCATCTCCACTGCTCCGAGGGATAAAGATGTCCCATGGAGTTGCTAAGAGTCGGAATCTACTAGAAAAGACAAGGGTTTAAAAATCTTTACATGAGGTGATCGCCAAATTCAACCCATTAACCTTTCAGTTAGTATAGGGGCACATAACCTTTGTGCCACCATGGGTATTAGTGTAGGGGGTTGAAGTATGCAGTGGTAAATTATTTTGCTTTTAATGTGCATTTCCTTGGTGACTAATGATTTTGAGCATTGTTTTTTCATGCTCTTAGTGACTAGTATTTGCATATGTATATGTATATAAGGAGCTGTGGTGGTGTAGTCCCTAAGGCATTTGGCTGCTAACCAGAAGGTTGT